ACCAAGATTAGAGTAAAAGCTTATCTCAAGTGGCACAAATATTTCAAAATTAATTTAGAAGAAATATGGATGACACCACTTGGGATAAAGATAACAAGTATAATATTTATCAAGGAAGTGTTAACAAATCAAAAAATAAATGGAATTTTAATTGAACAAAACAAGGCTTTTAGGCACAAATAAAATATTCTCTAGTCTTATAGCCAGGGCATTCAATAGTATAGAAGTAAAGGCTTATTATATATCAAGAAATTTTTATATGTCGAAAAAGCAAAACTTCACAGTAGTATACTTTATAATAAAAAAAGCCATTGTTGTGGGCTATCCCGACGAGTCCGTCACTAATCCGTAGTGCCTCACGTAACCCAGACTTCTCAAGAATATTCACAAATGACACAACGAAGAGAACGCCTTCTATAAAGAACACTTAAGGAAAGCAGAGACGTGATGATTGACTTGGTCAAAGGTAAGTGTCTCTTTATTGTGTTTTGTTTCTTTGATATATCACTAACTCTTATCTCTATTCTCAATGAGGGCTTTTTTTCTAATACATTCAGCTCTCTTCTCAAGGAGGGCTGTTTTCCTAACATATTCAGCTCTGCCTTTTCAACATACATTGGTAAACTATTTATACTTTTCTGACTAACAATGGGCTATCTACTTTATAATCGGCTATACTAATCCTAAGCTTTGCTAAACTTTCCATACTTTTTCAAATACATATAGTTCCCTTATCAGTACCCAAGCCTTATCTATAGTTTCTTACCTTGCAACACTCAGTCTTTCATACCAGACTTTTGGGTTTTTGGATTTTAAACTATTACGCGTAAATCGCGTCACCCACGTGACCTATAACACTATCAATAATTAAATATCTAGTTAAACCTAAGGCTAGATTTGTAATAGTTTCTTAAGTTGAAGTAATGTTTAAGAGGGTTTATAAGACCCACAATTTTTTTTCTTAATCATATTTGTTCATTAGCTAGACTAAAGTTTCAATAATATGTATTTCTCTTTTCTTAGTGACTTATAAAAATTTGTATTTTCTTATAGACACATTGAGTATATGATATAAAAAATAAATTGCTATATACAGTATTGATATGTTTTATTAACTATTGTTTGGATAGTGTTAGAGTTTCCAAGTTATGTGATAGTTATTCCTTGTTTATTTGAGTAACACTTGTTTGATTGTATATTTATTTTGTTTATTTATTTTTATTTATATAAATAAGGTGTTGATCTATTTATTGTAAGTTGTGTTATTATTTTTAAATCTATTGTATTATTTATAGCTACTATCACATAGAAGTATAAATTATAAATATGTAAATATATAAACAAGTTATTTATTAGATATGTAAGTAGGTTGTTATTTAAACTGATAGATATAATATATTTGCATTATATGATTTAAGATATAGAGTATTATTATATTGTTTATATTACTTTTTATTGTTAAGTAATTGAGATTTGAATATCCTTCTAGGTATTGTGAGCTCTAAGTTTTAACCAATTTATTGATTGAAGTTATTGCCTATAGTATTTTTCTTAATGTTAAAAAGGTGTTAACCTGCACTAGTCTGATTGAGAGCTTTAAGAAGTTGAGATTGGATTTTCAAGAGCTTATTGTGAATCAGTTTTCTTGAAATTTTTTTTCCATTGTAAAGAAAAATTATATAGTGATAGTTTTTCTCTAATATCTATTCTATAATTGTTATTATAAAGAAATATATATTTTTAAAGCTTAATAACAAGCTATTATTGTTTTTAGACTATATATTTCTTAAATATTGAAAGCTGGCTTCTTGATTTTCAAAAATATTATTAAAAAAGAAAATTTTTAAGGAAACTGAGAATCAGCGAAAAGAGTTTTTTTTTTTTACTGCTGAATAATATAATTTTGACTAGTATAGATTTTATTTTATTATTTTTTTTCTTATAATAAAATACTTGTTTATTTTTAAATTTTCTTTCTTTATTTTTTTAATCTATTCTCTTATATAATTTTCTTATTATCCAATAGCTTAATAGAATAATCAATAATAATAATATATAGTATTATCAATAATATATAGACTAAAGAATCTTTATTCAAAATTTATTACAAAATATTAAACTATCTTCAATAATAAATTGGTTATATTAAAAATAAAAATTTAAATTAATTGATTAATAACTTTCAATATAGGTTATTTATAACAATTATTATATATAGTATTATTACTTTTTTTTTATAATATCATATAATTTTATATTGTATTAAAACAATTTATACAATATTAACAAGCTTTATTTGATTTATAGAAATTATTATTACTATACTTTATATATTAATGTTATTATATCTATTTTTTTCACCAATCCTTTAATTATATATAAAAAAGATATTTGCAAAAAGTTTTTAACTTTTATACTAATAAAATTTTCATATTCTCTTTAAAACAACTTGAAAGTTTACCTTCAAGAATTATTTCTATCTTTTTTTTTTTGTTTATAGCTCTCTTTGATTATAAACTCGCCTTTTAGTGATCAAAAAACCAAGTAACATTTTTATTGCTAATAGCAAAAAAGCTTTTAAAGGAAAAAAAACCAATAATAAAGTACCTAAAGGCCTCTTCTATCTTTGTTGTAATTAAAAAAAATTCTATATAATAAAAGAAACTTATTTATTTTTCCCTTTTATTATTGTTTCTCTCTTAAAATTATCACTTTTATAGTTTTCTAAGGAATTTTGTCCATCACAATTTGATTTTGAATTTTAGATAATACAAATTCTTGTTAAAATTGACTGGTTGTCACAAAACATATTAGTTTTTAAAATGTAAACAAACTTCTATTAATCACATATATATGTCTAAATAAGATATTGCTTTCTAATATATTATTGAATATTAAGAAAGAGAATAATCTTTAAGAAAACTATTGTAATAAAAATAGTTTCTAATACTATTGAATAGTTATTTTTAGTCATGATCTTTATTTTATTTCTATTTTTATTTATTTATAATTATTTTTTTAATATTCTTTAATATTTTTATTAATACTTAATTAGTATAAATTACTTTATCAAAGTAACTAGCCTGACAAAGGAAAAAAAATAAAATAAAATAAAATAAATTACTTTATCAAATATAGCATATAATATAATTTATCATAAATTAGATAGTTCAAGAGATCTAAGAGGTCTAGAAAACCCAAGTGATATCTTTTTATAAGTATATAAGCAGTTATAATTCACTCAAAAGTAAGATAACTTTGTAGATAACTTTGCTTGACTTTGAAAATTTGTAAAAATAATTTTACTTTTCTTTTAGAAGATTGGATATTTTTTTTCGACTTTAAAATAAAAAAATTGTTCTAGTTTTCTTGATTTATTAATAAACTTGAATTTTAAATAAACCATATTTTTTGTAAAATATTATATAACATTATTTAAAAGATTCTTGATAATCTATTATTAAATATTTCTTTATTATTATAAATTACTTCTTGAATTTTTTTTTTTTAGAAATTGTACTTTTAAAAACAATTAATTATATTATTTATTGCTACTTAGGAAAATAAAAAAAATAAAATACTCAAGAAAATATGGAATAAAGATAAAATCTTGAAAGTATATCAATTATTTATATAAACCTAAAGAAACATCAATATAAAGTAGTATAGTAGATTCATTTATTTATAATGATAATATGTCAAGAGCAATATTTATAAAGATCAATGAAGATATATATCAAAAAAATCAAGATTTCTTTTTTAAATAGATTATTGCAATAGATAAATAAGAATAGATTTACTGAACAATAAAGGTTCCATTCCTTATATTCCCTTTTTTATAACCTCTTTCTTTTCAATCTTCTTAAACTTTGGTTCTAGATATTCTTAAAAATTTCTTTGACTTATCTAGTTACTTGAAAAAATATAAAAAAAAAATCCAATATAAATAAGATAAAACAAAACATAGAATCAAAACTGAAAAACACAAAAATCATAATATAGAAGTACTAAAAACAATAGAGAAACAAACAATGCATTCTCAACTGATGAAGTTCTCAAAGAATATCTAACTGATGGTATAGAAATGATAGTAATATCACAATTAATATTTTTTCTTTCTTGCCAAATTTTTTCAAGATGAGAGTAAAACCCTCCCTTTTACTGATCCTTATAAAACTATTGTTTTTAATTATTTTTCCTAGCAGTAGACAATTCTTCAAGAAGATTAGTATATGAACACATATCCCCTGATTGGGTTAAGATAGACAAACTAGATTCAATACTCTCCCTTAAAATTTTTATCACCCTAATGATCCTCTTATTAGGTTTCTGTCTGGAAATGGCTTAGCCATGAGGAGATTTCTTAACCTATCATTAGTTTACTAACTTATCATTGTTTTCTTCTGGTCAGATGTACCTATATAGTAAAACTTTGCTAATAAACTTGGCCAAGCCAGCATTTAAAAAAAAAAAAAAAAAAATTGATGCCGCCGCCTCATAGGGTTGCTGTATCATAAAGAAAAAAAAAAAAACGCTATCTGGACACAAGCCTCTGGGCGTCTCTAGTCAAAATAGAGTATACCAATCAGGGTTTACAGAACCTTTTTAAATAAAAATAAAAATAAAATAAACTGAATTGGATCTCGGAACAACATTTTGAACAGGGGATTTTGAAACTGTCACTAGCAACTTAATTGCATAAACGAGATAATCTTTTTCCGTAATGAATCAAGTTTTTTCTTTGATAATCGATGAATTTTTTTTTTATGATTCCTGGATACTCGGGTTATCGTAGTGTGATGTCGATTCAAGCTAATCTTGTTGCCTTAGTAAATGATACTAAAAGTACTAAAAAGGTCAAGAATCGTTTGTAGATCGTGGAACATGAATGATCTTCTCGATGGTTACACTTTGTAATTACTTTTACACGAATTCACGGATTGATCAAATACAAATAGTAGCAATAATTTCATAACTGGCATAAACATAAACGGAAAAGTATGACAGCACCGCTCAATCTTCACCTTTGTCAGGAAGATTCGCCAATTTTTCGGAAGGAATTGGCGAATTGTGAGTCTTCAGTTTTTGGTCTAGAGAACACCATAAAAAATCTAGTCAAATTGTCGAGATCTAGTGTCGAGCTCGCTCAAGGTGAGGGGAACCCCTTTCGGATTGGTCGTTCGATTAGAAGAAACGAGAGTAACATTATCATTATCAAATGGTAATAGAATATACCGTAAAACAACTTCAATTTGCTGAAGAACTTGGAATTTTTGCGAAGCAACAGCCAGAATCGATCATAAGTATGTCGTATAGATTTTCTTAAGTGACTCTAAATAAGATGTACTTACTAGGTCGAATAACTCGATATAGAAACCGTTTTGACAAAATATGTATCGTCTTTACAGGAGGTCGAGAGGAGTCGTCGAATACTTGTGAGACTTTTACTGTCTCCGAGCAATGATGTTTTATGCCTTTTGAAATAGGATGTAAAGTTAACTTCATATTTTCTAGAGTTCGCACATTTTTAACATGTTCATCGAACCACTGGAGGCTTTTGCAAAAAACGAAATATTACCGTTAAAGGTACAATCATATGATCATGTTGATCGGGTGAATTTTGGTAGGTTATTGATCATGTTCATTCCTCTAGGACATCAAAAAAAGTTTCGAGAAAGCCGGAAACGAAGTCGACGCGGCTCTTTCTAAATACATGAACAAGCGACCCAAGGATTCGATGATTCGCGAGGTAAATTATATATGACTTCTTTGACAGGATGACACCAATCATATATCTTCCTGACAGCCAATATTTTTAAGGCGTCCTTTGAAGTATCGGAAGCCCGAAGGGAATTTCATTATCGTTATCTTGAATACGCAACAAGGATAAATCAGTTGGAAGCAAAAAAGAAATTCGAATTCATGGAATATGTAAAGGGTCCATTTCATTATTCTTGAGTGCAAGAGTTTATCGATTCTTCAATGGTTGGAATCTCGTCCGAATAATGCGATCATCTTTATCTGATCCTTAGATCTTGGCTTTAATGTTTACGGAATCGTCGTTTTATCATCAAAGTTATGAAATTTTGAAGGACTTGGAACCACACATGAAAGACGTGACAAGTAAATTTGTGGAATCAAATTTGGGGACAGCTTTGGCAATGAATAATGGTTAATTGACACTAATGCATTCACATTTTCATTATTCCCTTTCAGGACTGCTCCATGAGGTATTCATCTTTGCACTTTTACCTCACCTTGTCTTTATATTGATTGATGATATATTTCGGAATGTAAACTTAGGCAAGAGTAATGTACGATAACGATATTAAAGAGTCACAAATACTTAAAAAGAAAATATTTGAGGTATCTTTTTTTTTTTTAAGTTGGATTTACATTTCGTTAGAGTTTTTTGACGCATAATCAAGATTGACAATTTTATTTTGTAGTCGGCCCAAGAAACTTATGATCCACTAAGATCGGCTAAAATTAGTAAAAAATACAACACAGATTCAGGCTCAAGTGGGATTAAAAAGTCGGGGTATCTGTACATGAAAGGAAATCAAAGGGTAATGCAGACTTGGGCTCGTAAATATTTCACCATTTCCGGAGAATTGTTAAGTTACTGTAGTAAATCTGGAAAGGTACTTTTTTATTTTCTGCTCATCTCTCGTTTAACGTCAACTGAAATCGTTATTAATTATTTTCTTCAGATCTCAAAGGAAGAGGATGATTCCGCTTCTATTAATTTAAGGGTTTGTCACGTGAAAGTTATAAATAACTCGGATAGACGCTTTTGTTTTGAAATACTCTCTCCAATGAGGTAGAATTATCTTTATTCATTGACGTCTTGAATTCTCTTCACATTATCGAAAATTGATTTCCTGTTTATGTCTTTAGGACATATGTCTTGCAAGCCGAGAACCAGGCAGACATGGAAGACTGGATATACTGCTTGCAAACTGCGGCCAAGGAAGCATTGTATTCAGAGCAATTACCTAGGATGATCTCAGGGGATACTAGAGATTCATCGGTAGATAACACATTACTCTCGGTATCAGGTTTTTCCGTCTTTCCTAATATTGATTTTAATTGATGTAGTTTCAGCAGGAGAATGGCAACGGCGAGGATGCATCGAAGTCACAAGCAGCGAATGATCGATCACAAAATTCCAAGCATTCAATTCACCAGATAAAGCAAGTGGCGGGCAATGGACTTTGCGCCGACTGTAAATTGGAAGGTGTATTATATGTGTATATCTTTACGTTGGTGACTTTAAGTTTATCTGCTCGGCATCCCCTGACGGCCTTTTACTTATAGACCCGCAATGGGCAAGTACCAATTTTGGTACCTTACTGTGTATCGAGTGTTCCGGCATTCATCGTAGTCTTGGTGTGCACGTGAGCAAGGTTAGATCGTTGATGCTTGACAAATGGGAACCCGAAACCGTTGAGGTTATGTTGAGGTTAGGGAACTCCAATGCAAATCAGATATTTGAGGCAAAACTTTTGGAAAAGAAGGATTTATTAAATAAATCTTCATGGAAAAGGTTCGTTGCATGCTGATGTTCGAGTTCATTTAGAATATTCTTAAAGCCTTTCGCTTTTTTGTATAATAATTGTTTCAGAGCCGAAAGGGAGAAATTCATCACAGACAAATATGTCAATAAAGAATACATTATTCGGAAGGACGAAGATAAAGATATTGATATGAATGTGGTGAGAACTTTATTATTATACCCGAAATTTTTCTCACATGCCTGTCATCTAAATAAGATGAAACGTAGGCTTTTTGGGAAGAGATGAATAATTCCAATTTACAAGGCGCCTTGAAGTATCTGTCACTTGGCGCTTACGTGGACTGGAAGAATGATCAGAGGAATGGGACCACCGCATTGCATCAGGCTATACGTAGAAGTGATGATGTCGCGGTTGAATTTTTGCTACTTTGGTCTAGCGACATTAATGCGGTTGATGAAGATGGTTGGAGTGGTCTTCATCACGCAGCCGCCACGAATAATGCGAGACTGTTGTTAAATTTGATGAAGAGACACGCCGACATTAATCTGAAGGACAAACGTGGAAAGGTATTTTTGGTTGATGTGATTACATATTCATGCGTACGATTATTCTATGTTAATTTGAATCTTTAGAGACCCGTTGATGTCGCATTAGAACTGCAGAAAGTCGAAGCAGTCACGGCATTGAGATTGTTCCAGTTTGAGAATCAACTGACGAGATCGGAGTATTCAACTTTTGGTGTTGACGAAGCGTTGACAAGCATATCAAAGCCCTATAATAGGACCGCGTCGTCAAGCATAGACCTGAGAATTAACACCAATAAGACATCAACTCGTAGTGCGCCTGCAACTCCGCCACCGTCATCCAGGGGTCTGCTGGAAGACGATGACCTGAATAGTCCAGCAAGGAGTAGCATGGATTCATTCACATCTCAAGACGGAATTTCATCAAAATTCCCCACGAATGGACTTAAGCTTCAGACATTTGGACAATGGGAAAATATCGAACACGAAGATGGAATGTAGGATTTGGAATCATTGATGGATTTGAGATTTCGATCTATTTTCATACTTCCTAGACTATTTAATTTGAGTGAAACTTTAGGCTCTCGAATTGTATTTAACTATTTAATTGCTAATTGTAAATAAGCAAATAAATCTGCAAAGGTCGAGTAGAACTTCATAGATCTTAGTTTAAAATTATGAAGCATTCATTGATGCATTTAACTGAAAAAAGAAACGTACAAGTTATTATGAAAGTGATATGGTTCGCATCAATTGAATGACGGATGTGTTCGTTGAACACATTACTACTTTTCAAAAAAATTTTCCATATTCAGAATGTAACTAAGTTCTTGAATGATTACGATGAATAACATAATCACAGCTTGTGCGATTAGTCTATAAAAACTAATATACGCATATATATACTGTATATTTATATATTTATATACATCATACATAAAAACCAATTAACATACATCCACTGATTTGCTCACTTTTAAATAATCAAAATTTGAATACTGATCATCTTTTAAGGATACAGGTTTCTTTATTTTCAAGGGTTTATTTCCAAGGAGACCCACATCCAACAATCGATCCTTCGCATGATCTTGATATTTCAAGGAAACATGCAACCCTCGTTTCTCTCTACATAGTAAGTTCATTTATGATGATGTTATATAACTCAACTTCTAGATATTAGGCTGTGTTTGTGGATGGTTGAATAGAAAAAAATTTAGATTAGGCACATTAAGAAAAGTTCATTAAGCATTAATAGTTGAAATTCTAGAATCTATAACCCCCAATAGCATCTTCACAACGTGAAAGATTAGCAAATAAATAGACAAGTAAAATAAGTAAATAAATAATAATTAAATAAATAATAATTGATGCCGATTGTTAGTTGATCACGATTTTTTTTGCACCGAGTGTTGATCCTTTTTTCTTTTTCTCTTTCAACTCGGCCATTTTCTGTATTAAGTGAGAAAAATTTAGGATCTGCAATTTATCTTATTAATCAGGCGTTCAGAAGGCGACAACCAAAAGACACAAACCTGTCTTCTTTCTTCTCTTCTCCTATTTAACTCTGCTTGTTTCTCTTCTTTTGATGGGGTGTGGGATGTCGAGGATTTTTGTACAGGGCTTATAGATCCGGTTGATATGGTGGATTGCATTGACGATGGCCTCGAAACGTTCCAATCATCTTCCCAATCACCATTGCCCCAATCATCATCTAAGCCCCAGCTATCCGTTGGGTGTGCTAATTAAGAAAAGTATGCTTTGGTGAATCACACGTCAAAAAAAATGTGGATGTGAATTGAATGGTTAAGGATGATCACTTACATTTATTTTCAGAACCCAGCTTCATTGAAGTCGTGGCAACGGTGTAGCTTAACTTCTTTCCAATACTGGATGGTCTAGATGATGACGATGATTCGGATGTTTGTCCTAATTTATGGAAAAAAAGAAAAGACGACGTGTAAATGACGCTTTGAAATTTAATTTAACTCACAGTAAAACAAGTGTACGGACCAAAGCTATCATTGTTCATTTCCTTTTCTACATTGTCTATGCAAAACATGTTATCACTGTTCTCCCATCCATCTAAAGTATCCTGATCACTCTGCTCTACATTGGAATCGCTTTTGACGCTCGGACTTGTGGGCGTTGGGCAACCGTTCGCAGACTTTTCGTTGCTGGGCGTGACCGTATGATCCGATGGAGAAGCGGCAATCTCCCCTTCAACAACAGTTCCAGTAATCTTTTTGAATTCAACAAACAATGCATGCGATACATTATTAAAATATAAATTAATTAATTAATATACGTATTTGGTTTATAACAGCGAAACGTTGGCATTATCTACCTTTTTGGTCAAAGATGTGACAGCCCATCCGGTCCAGCTTTCAGCAGCACTGGCGGCTACACCTGCAACACTACTGGCAACCGAGATTGTTGTTGATGTCATGGATGAACTTTGCTCAGTTATCGCCGAGTCGGGCTACAAATGTTCGTTATGGCTTAAATGTTCATCAGGTCTTTAACAAATATAAATATTTTGATTTTTTAAAATATCTGTTACCATTGATTCCACCAATTTTTCTAATCTCTTAATTAACAAGTCGGCTGTTTTAAACGCTTGTATTCGAACTGGTCTATGGGAAATTTTTTTAGCATTTAATCTATCGATAATTAATGAAATCAAGATGGCTTTTTAGCTGCTCACTTTTCCTTATCAATCAGTGCAGTCGAAACACAGGGTAGCAACTTGGTCGCACAATCGATTGCGTCATAATATTCCAATGTTGCTAAAAAAATTGGATCGGATTAAAAAACGTTAGGCAAGAGAATCCTAAAGGATCAGTGTCATATACCGACCTGCTATTGCCATTAAACTCGCGACTCGAGCGTGTGGAAAAGGATCTCTAGTCGCTCTGGTGAATGCTGGAACTAGAATTTTCTTCTTTGTCTATAATTACCATTATCACCGTTACAAATTTTGTAAAATTGTGAAATGACCTGATAGGTTGAAAAAAGACTCACAGTCTCAGTCAAATATTTGCTAATCTTTCCCAAGCATATTGTGGTATTCGTACGAATACCAGGTTCTTCATCCATTTGTAATTTGGCCAAGTATCGTAGTAAATCATTATTTATTATGCGATCGGATAGCTGCCCATATAAGATCATGCAAAGATCGTGTAAAGATAACCAACAAAACAATTGAGTTTCTGATATATATCGGGTCTTCTATTTCATACCTTTGGGACGAGAAGAAGAATAGATTTGACGGTACTTTCTCGGATAATTGGCGCAGTATCCGTAAATCCCGTTGCCTGAGATGTAATTAATTCAAATGGTCAATATTAAAAAGTATATAATTTTGAAATATGGTTCTTAAGGTAACGCGATACTAACCACATTCGAAAAAATCCTATCACTAACTGTTTTGCTATCTAACCGGTCAATGAACATCGCCAAGTTTTCCAGTAGACTCAAACGTATAGTTCGATCCGGAGCAGCAAACATTTTTACTATTGATGTCATAACTACCGAATCGTACTCGCTGCTATCAAGTGTGTTTCCAATTTTTAATATCAGCGGTAGAACTTTTGCACCACCTACACGCGAAAATTCAGACTTCCGTTATTTCTTTTTGCCCCCCCAAAAAAAGCTCTATATCTTTTTTTTTTATTTTTATTCTATTTTTTTTACCTGAACCAAATTCCAATGCATTTATGAGTTCTGGCAGAATCTTGAATTTGCAAATACGCGGAGGCAATCTATCGACTGTTGCACCCAACTTTCTATATCCAATCGATGGACGCTGGTAAGTATGTGTACACTTTGATCGGTGCAAGTTGAAGATAACATGATAATCCCCTTACCTAAAAAAGTCATCTTTCTCCCTGGATTCTTTAATATTCATGTTTTCCAAGAATAACATTATTTGAGTCAACTCGTTCTGAAAATATCCATTGACTCTCAATCCAATGTCCACAAAACTTGAAATGTTGGGTCGAGATTTCGGATTAGTGCTGATCAATTGTCTATAAGATGCTTGCATGGACTAATAAAAAATGAGATCATTAATGCAGTATAATTGTTTGCTCTGCGTAAAGCAACCGGCCGTACCTGTAATATTGACCCGGGATTGTCGAGTTGGCTTGGCGAGGTGAATGGACCATTGTAAATCTCATATATCAAGGTTCCGTAGTTCCATGAATCTGTTACCCAGACATCATGGCTAAAATTAAATAGCAGGATCAGATAATTAAATTAGCACGAATCAATCCGGGTGGCTATTTTGCCAGGTACCGAGAAACTCACTCTTTTAAGACATCCCACGAACTTGTAGAGACTTCGGGTGACGCATATTTCGAAGATTCATAAACTAATCCTCCATAAGTCTAATCACAGAAAATATGGTTGTGGTAAGTGTCAACGGGCTGTCACCTAATCTCACGGACACAAGAAGAGATTGCATGTATGTACACAGATTACGGGATTATCCTCTTTCAAAGAGCTCATCAACTCAAACCCAGCGAGTTTCCATTCGCCAGCTTTGTTGGTAAATATTGATGATATTCGAACATTTCCATGAATCATTGCGCAATCATTATTTAAGAATTTTAGGGCACTCTACCAATTTTGAAAGTGTTAGCACAGAAAACTTTAACCAGAATCGGAGGATGAAGTGAAAAATATGTTGCATACCCCAACTTTGTATAGCCCCCATAACTTCGAGCTGTCCTCTGATTTGGAATCGAGATGAGTTCGCAAGGGTGTCACACTTTCAGTTGCAATATATATATATGCATCAGTCTTTCAAGTGAATGATGGATGAATGAGATATAAATACTAAAAAAGAGATCGCTGATCCAACGAACGAGGAGCACACGAAGTTGTGTTAATCGGCATCTTACCTCGACGCCATCGATGTATCGCAAGAGATCTGGATGTCTTATCGTGCGAAATCTTTTGAAAGCATTTTTGGCCAAAGGTAACTTTTCCTTTTGCTTGATGCAGTCAAAAGTAAATATCGATACTGGGCTTCCATCCTCCTAAACAAATTCCGGTGATAAGGTGCAAGTTGTTATGAACGATCCTCCAATGATTTTATGTAATCTGAAACTACCGTTTGATTCCTACTTTTTTCGTTCCCTGATGTAATGACCACATAGATTCGCCATCGTAGGCTTCGATTTTCTCCGCTACGTTGTAAGGAAACGAAGGTATGTCCTTGCCTAATACGACCCGAGATAACGTAGATTTTAAATATTCCATACTGGAATAAGTGAAAAATTATTAAAAATTATATATACAGTTTATTTGATATATTAAAAAAAAAAGAAAATAGGTTTTTGTACGTGCTACTTGAATTGCTGCCACAATTGGCATTGATCGCTCTGACGCTTATATGTCCACGGAACCCATTACAATGTCTTTTAAAATTAAAGCTTTAATGAAAAAAAGAAACCTGTTTTTATAGTAGTACAGAATTCTTTAATATATCGAAAATCATCGTTGAATATTCACGTTGATGTATTATTTACAGCGTATTGGATTTTGATCTACCGATACCGATGATGTAAATATCCAAGAGATTCTATCTGTATTTTGCTTTTAAATATAAATAAATAGATATTATATATTGTATATGCTGTGTGGATTGACTATCAACCGTCTTCATCTATAAATTCTTATTGTCAGGAACCGAAACTCTCGCCAAACCCGAGATACAGATCACGTGCCGAACCTTCTACTATTTACTTTGACTTCTGTACTCAGCCTTCAACGTGTCAACCAGCCTTTTCCTTCCTCTCCGTTCGTACAATTTACTCACTTTCCTTATCAATCGATCATCGTCGTCTATCACCAGCCTGGTGGATAATGTTATCATTGCTTGCTCAAACGTTGAATTTAATAATTTTGCTGTTTGATTAAAATGAATTGATTCGTCATTGATTGATATTTGTCTAAAAACCAGGAAAGGATCCTCCCGAAAGAAATTCGAAATCATACCCTTGTGATACTTCAACAAAGCCACTGCCACAAAATACAACACATCAAATCCATTCAGCATTAATAAATCCCATATTCTTACCAGAGTGTGATGAGGAACCACGTCGTTTGCGAATAGCGTGATGTACCACTTGGTCGCGTAAGCCGTGCAGGTGATTTGTAGTTCGTTCTTTGGTTTTAGGGGTAGGGTTCGGTCAATGATCGTAACCGTTTGGTCCAATGAGCAATCCGAGAAATTATAGAGGAACAATAATACTTACAAATTTTGCAGCTATATCGGGAGCATAAAACAACATCAACTTTTCTTGCACATAAAAACTTTCCAGCAATGCAGGAAACCCGGGTATGTACAAATTATGCAGATTGCATCTGGTAAACAATTTCGTCAGCATCACAAAGGCATTCTAGATTAATAACAGAAAAGCACGATAGTTAGTTGAATGACACCAACAAATCATGAAAACAGGTTGTCATGAAACCTTACCTCCTCGGCATAATATAATAACAGTATGGCTACAATACTTGTCATTCCTTGGCAATATCCGACTTGCTTGTCATATATTGAAAATGCTCTTAATATATTGAATAATGCTCTTTGGCTATTTTTATGCATATGCATGGTTTCAAGGAAGATAGAAAAGCAAACGAGCAAACAGAAACGGATGAATAAATAAATTCTTCGGCAAAACCAGGAGACAACATTTTCAATAGATACCCAGGCCCATATCTAGTTCGAAACATGATATGCGAATGCAGTGTCCGCGGTATATCCAAATCTATCTGCCGCTCGTGTTGCGATGGCAACATTAATAGTGTCTATGAAGATTATCATTCTCTAGTAAGAACATCCATGCAATTTCTAAACATAAATGTAGATGACATGAAACTTACGTTATAGGTGCGAATCAGGTTGTCATCAAATTCGGACTCCGAGCCTCCATTTGTCAATAAGAAATACCTGAGAAGAAAGAAAAGCTTTCGCCTTTAACACGAGGATAATAACAACGATGACTATTGATGGCAAAAGGACACCGTTTTAATTCCTACCACACAGGCTGCCTCCAAGAATCTGGTACGCCTTTATACATCCTATTTTGAAACTAAAATAACAGATATTTATTTATTTGTAATTCCCTCAAAAAAGAAAAAACGAATCTAAAAAATGAATGCCCTTTATCACATCATCCCAAAACATTTACCTTAGTATCCCAAGGAAATACATAATTACTGATTCCAAATTTACCAGACTTCTTCACAAATTTGCTCGTGGCGACCCATCTAATCCATTTTTGAGACCTTACAGATTCTTTCTTTTCGATTCTAAATTAAAATGTATGGATTATTTGGATCTAGAGAAATTTTGATGCAATCCGCATTCTAAAATTCGTGCACACCTTATCTCTTCTGGCGTCAAGTTTGGTAATATATCTTCCTCGTCTTCTGCAATTATAAATCCATATCTTTTCGGAATCAAAAGGAATGAGTATTTCTTGTGCTCGCATGTGTAATGATTTCATAACGCGCATCCGTGGTAAGGGAAATCATCTCACCTATCAACCACACCACAAAACTGGTCGCTAGCAATATCACGTTTGGGTGAAGTAACCTGATAATATTCGTAGGCTTCTTTAACCTCATTATTTGTATCTTGCTCTTCAGAGATAAATTCTTTTTCATTCACCACTCCTATCTTATTACTTCCGTTCTTTAACTCATTACTTCTTTCATCTGCTTCCAAATATTTCGTTCCTCGTAAATTTCCTATCCCCTTCCATTCGACGTCTTTCTTTTGCCCTTTTATGTCTACCTTTTTTCCTTTCCTTTCTTTCTCCCTTATTCCCGTTCCATTTGCATTCTTATCATTCCTCCCATTGTTATAATAAAAAGCTGTCAATCCTGAAGAAAAACTACGCCATTTTCTAATTGACCCTTTATGGGTAAATCGGCCATCACCATCATTAGCATTGTTCATCGATGGTGTGTCTGTCGTCCCACTACTTGACGCTATTCCGTAGCTCAAGTTATTGTCGCCATTTGCTATCACACCATCTCGTGGTGCAAATTGTTCATTTTTGTTGTTAGTGTCGGAGTCAAAATCGGTGCTGCTTTTCATTTTCAATTTTTCTGAATTTGAATTTACATTTCCATTCATATTAGTTGCAGTTGACGTAACTCCGTCAGTCACGTAAACTACATTACTTGAACATGATTCTAAGTTATCTTTTTGATCATTGATTTCGAAATTATATTCAAACAATCCATGATCGTTTCTTCGAATATCCACCATGGAACGACTCTTGCGTAATTGTGATTTCAATTTTGCGGTATCATAAGAAAGTTGAGCGATCGCGGCGCCGGATGTCGTCGGAGAAGTGGGTGTGAATGAGTTTAGTGGTTGAAATGATGCAATCGATGATGGAGAAGAGGCGTTAAAAGAGGTGGGGTTAAAGATGGTTGGAGAATTTTGATCTGATGGAGTATGATTATATATCCGGTTAAGAGTGTTCGCCGGAGAGTGTGTATTACTGACTATCTCGGAGGTCTTTTCGTTTTTAACAATGGAGATAGATTTTGGGAATTGGCTTTCTAACTTGGATGACATTCTTGAATGTGGGTGTGCCTTGAAAGATATAAAATTATTATAGGAAAAATATTAGCTGATGCGAAATTTTCATGTGTTGTGTATCGCTAGGGTCGTTCATAGATAGGTTTTGTGTTGAACCTCCGAAAGTACAAGGTCTAGGTGAATCGATATAAAATATAGAGTCGAAGAATTTTTTATTGATTTTTTTTTTCGGATTAATTATATGATTCGAGTTATTAAATAATTATTCAAAGTTGATTAGTAAAATATCCTTAAGATGAGATAAAAATAAAGTCTTATTGATAAATAATCATCACTCTAGAACATCAAGTTTACTTTGTAATAAACATAAATTAAAAGTAGAAATTGAATAAAACAAGAAATCGATTTTCCCTTCGCTTGTAAAGTGAGAAAAGGAATAATTTTGAGACACCGGAAAATAACAAGCTTTTATTTTGTACGCACGAGCATTGGCCGATAATATGGACCAATCGGAGAATATCCTTCAATATTGGAACAAAGACAAATTCCGAACTTCCTTTCGGCATGGTTTGATCGAAGTTATGTAACACAATAATGGTGTTGAAAACAACTCGAAGAATGCATTTAATGACAACTCGCCCCAAAAAAAGTTTCGAAAATTTAATGGCCATTCGTTTCATATGACATTCAACCGAACAAAGGTGATGTGTGAAATTAATGGGCTTAGCCATGCTCCTCGTGAAATACTGATATACGATAGACTCGTGTGTATGCTTGAGAGATACTGTATGTGAAAGAGGCGCGTCCGAATAGAAACGAAAACGCGATTATAGGTCACACGTATTTAAATGAACCTTACTCTTTTCCACACACTTGCATAATGAAACACACGATACAGTATGCACCCTTTAATGGAGAAATGTTCACTATTTATAATTCTTATTAATAGAAATGCTTTCTGGTTATCATTGTGTGTGTCAAAGGGTTTTTAGCGATTGATGCAGTAACACTGCATTAGTCTGACATAATCGAATCTTATATAATATTCGAACCCGTCACACGTGTATTGCACACAAGGGTAAAGTCTGAATGCGCGTTAATTAAATCGGGTCTAAAAGACTGATTTGGTTTTGATTTTGCTTGAAACCGGTCCGGAGCCTCACCTCAAAGCTAAAAATAGAACCATTAATGTACATCTCGTTTCTTGCCATTCGATTACTGGAAATCAACACGCAAAGAAAAAAATAACAACGAAAAAAAAAAAAATGATACCAAAAAACGTTATTAAAAATTCTATTTACAGGTATAAATATAATAATATTGAAATATACTGTGTATACTGTATATATACTGTATATCTTAAAGAAAGTATTAGTTAAAAACTTTTAAATAAATATTTTTTTTGTATTAATATAAATTTTTTTTGAAACTTTAGTTAAATTAGATATATGTATTTTATTAAATGTTTGTATACTTTATATTTTGAAATACTTCGTTAAAGCTAAATATCTATTTAACTTATTTATTTCTATTTATACTTTTCTAAAATTCTAAGTACACTTTGAAAGTAATTTATTGCTTTATTGATAGTTTAGATAAAAATCTTTTCAACTGCTAACTTCATTACTTACAGGTTATTACTGCAAATAATTTTTATTACATATATTTTATATATATTTTTTTCAACTAGTTCAACTGATAGGATTAAACTTTATTGAGATATCCTTTTAGATTACATAAATATTTCATATAATCCTATTTTTAACTATCTATCTTTTTCAAGTACACCCATTTTATCACATAGTAGTACCATTTTCGTCAGTTGTTTTGCCCTGTCCAGGCCTATAGCATTCCAAGAATTCACTATTAGACTTCTTATTATTTTTTAATTTTTAAGGAGCTTGTGATATGTATTTCTTAGTAAGGTCTTGTTTTGTCACTTAATAATAGTAAATATTATAAATATTCCTTATTATGTTTGATCTTTAGCAGGTCAATTGAAACTTGGATAGTACAGTTCTTCGGTTATTTTTGATATTCTGGTAATTCAATAGTGTTATGATAATTGAGAAGCATATAATCTTCTATTATCTTATTTTTAACCATTCTTGTAAGCTGGCGTACAAAGGTTTTTCTTAATTAATTGAGACTATTTGATCCCTTTCAAATATATCTACTCTCTACGGTTTCCAATATAATGTTAACACTTACCACTAGCCTTTACAATAGCTACCCTTTTTGATAGCTATTAGTATTATAATCAAGATATTCTTCTATTAATTCATTTATAGTCCATTATATTTTTAATAGATACTAATAACCGAAGTCTTCCTTATCTCCCATAGAATATAATTTTGACAAAAGGTGAATTTTTTTCTCATATTTGTTGAAAGGTTTGGATCAATCGGTGTTTTTTTTTTTACTTGTCTTTGAAACCTTCACATATCACAAATGATAGAATTTGAAGTTTTCTTTAACACTAAAATTGATCAAAACTATGTGATCTAAATTACATTATGATTAGATAATGAATTTCTATAGATTATGTTTGTATACAAGTATTTTTTTTTTTTTTTTTTAATCCGCAATCATGCCATGATGGCTTGTCTTTATTGAAAAATTAAAGTAAATCTACAATATTTTACAGACTTTTACAACGTGACTAACTCGTTTTCATACAAAAATATTCTAAGTCAGATTTTGGGAACAATATTACACTCCTCCAATAGATTGGTAATAACCTCCTTCTACTAGGATCATTACCAACCGTTTGTCACTATTGATTGCCCGAAAACCAATGAATTGCTAAGTTAAAAAGGAGAAAGGAGAAAAACGATTAGGGAAGGGGACAATTCAAGGCCCACCAAAAAAATCCAAAAATAAAAACAACCTCTTCTCAAAAGGGATCTGCCTGAT